ACAGGTATTTACAAAAGCAGTTTGCTGAGGCGATGCACTGAAATGAAGATGTCCTTACTTATTGAGTCTCGGGCGAGTAGAAGACATAAGTTTTGGGCAATAAAGAAAAAGCTTTTGGATCTCTCGAATGGCGATCTTTTCTGTATTTACAGCTTCTCTATCCTTAGCGTTGAATTATTTTTGTCAATGGTAGGAATGGCTAAGCTTGATGTCCTTCTTTCAACAAATTTTTGCGCCCTGTTGAAGTTCCCAAATGAGCAACAATGGATTGTGCGGCTTCAGAGCAATCAAATTTGGCGCCGAGCCTCCTCAGTATGGGAGATTCCTCTAGCAAGTACTCTCGGATTCTTGCCTCAAAACATTTATTCAAGGCGAATGTTGTTAGGTGTTGAAAATAATGAAAAAGATCAGGAAGATTTGCTTTGCATATACTTCTGAACTTCTGCTTTCGGCATAGATTTCAGCAATCGGCAAAGCTTAACAATTTCCTGTCGCGCTTGTGTTCTAAGATAAACCTGGAACAATCGAATGTGTTTGAGAATTTCAATAGGTTTTTGATGCAAAGAACGATGAGCTAACCTCCGTTTCGAACCAAAAGTCAAAAATTCCTTCGGCCGCAACGCTATCCAAGTCGTAGGCTCGGGTGAGTCGCGGTGAGAAACGGAAGTAGGGTATTCCAAGTGAATGAGCCCACTCTCTGGCTTGACCAACAGACACGGCATGGGACGAAGTGCACTGAATTATCCTTACTCAAAAGTGATGCCTTTTATATATTGCTGGGATAATGATACAGAGTTGTGGTCCATAAATACTTCCATCATACAATGGAATTCTTGAGAAAAACATTTGTTTACCTCTTAATCGAATGAGGATCAATGAATAAGTACCTGATACATGAAAAGCGTAATCAAATTCTTGCCTTTGCCAAAAATGTTCATAAAATCTTTTCCAAGAGCAAATGGACTACTGAAAGAGTTGAATAGAAATATGCCAAAAGTTCAAAGAAGCAAAATGTGTTATTTACAAAGTATTTTTTTGAAACTTTTCTGTAATTTTTTTAGTGACACGTTAATCTTTTCCTCCTCAGATAATGCTTCCAATTCTTAGAGTGAATTTTTTACGATACCCACTTGGAAAAATAATGACGGCACTATTTGATCTTAATGTAATTATGCCGTAACAGGTTTTTATGGAAACACTTTATTTTTACGTTTTGGCTCAACGCCGTCCTCAAAGGCCTGAAAGTGAGTCAATTACCTGTCAGGCGCTTATACCATCAAAAACCTCTGTCACATCACATATCCAACTCCTCCTCAATGATTGCGGCTGATTCAAAGCCGATATGATGATCACCAATGTTCCACAAAGCTTAGCAGAAGCTAGCTCACTTTCCAAATGTCCACAG